CTTAAATATATTCATTTTCGAAAAGCTATTTAAAATTTTGATCAGATTTAAATTTCAATATTAGCTCTAACTTGTAATTTAAGATCGTTAAAGTGAATAAATATTTAAAATGTATTTACTACAGCAATCTGAAATAAATAAGTCAAAGATATTAGTTAGTTGATATACAAATAACTGATGCAGGATTCTATATTAAATATATTTCGTAGTTGAACATTTTAGAAAAAAATTCAATTAACTCTCTACAATTATTTTAACTGCTTGGACTATTATAAATTATGTTAAAAAAACATTTAAGGATGCTATGAATGATTAAAGTTTACTATCATTATATTGCAGAATGTTAGGCTTATCATTTGAAGATCTTCGGCCAGTTTATATTACAAATTTTCAACGGATTAATGATCGAGTTGCAGGAATATTTCTCATAACTTCTATCATTAATTTTGAATATATAAATAAAGAATTAAGGAATTTTATTGTTGATATTACTGTTAGTGACTTAAAAATATAAAACATATCTAAACTGAAATTTTAATTTAACGTTTACAAAACATATTTTTACCTATTTAATTTAAAAAAACTTAAAAAAGTTCAAAAATAACGATTATGACAATTGTCACTTTTCTATAATACACTTTCACTGAAATATTAATTTAACTTACAAAACATATTTTTACCCATTTACTTTAAAAAAACTCAAAAAAGGTTCAAAAATAACGATTATGACAATTGTCACTTTTCTATAGTACACTTTCACTGAAATATTAATTTAACATGTTTACGAAACATATTTTTACCTATTTACTTTAAAAAAAAGTTCAAAAATAAAGATTATGACAATTGTCATTTTTCTATAGTACACTTTCACTGAAATATTAATTTAACATGTTTACAAAACATATTTTTACCCATTTACTTAAAAAACTCAAAAAAGTTCAAAAATAACGATTATGACAATTGTCACTTTTCTATAGTACATTTTCACTGAAATATTAATTTAACATATTTACAAAACATATTTTTATCTATTTGCTTTAAAAAAAGTTCAAAAATAACGATAATGACATTTGTCACTATTACCTAAAAAAGTATCTATCAAAAGATATATAATAGATAAAATTACGTAAAATATATATATATAAATCATTTTAAAAATATATATTAAATATCAATCAAAAAAATATATTTAAAAAATTTTATTAAAAAAAATCATATAACACAAAAATATAAAAAAAAATATCAATCAAAAAAATATATTGAAAAAAAATACATATTAAAAAAAATATCATTTAAAAAAATATATTGAAAAAAAATATCAATCTAAAAAATATATTGTAAAATTAAAATATATTTAAAAAAAAATATAAAAGAAATTTATAATAAGAAATTAATATTAAATAATAATAAATTAATCTCAAATAAATAATAAATTTATTAATTTTTAAAATAGAATAAATACATTGCCTGATTTAACCCGGCAATGTATACTTAGCCGAAATAACAAAATTACCCTGCCTACCCCTACCTCACATTGCCGAATATTTCACATTGCCGCCAACATAAACATGAAGTAAATATTAATCAATTTTTATTTTGGCAAAATACCAAAAATAATAATGCCTGTTGTGATCTTGCCTTAAATTTACCTATATTTTAGGAATTTTTCAAAAACCCTTTAGTAAAAATGTAAGTTAGTAGCTGATAGCCCGTCAAGAATATGATTGGTTACTAATGAATTTCGCCTTTATTTGATGATGGATGAATCAAAAATTTTCCTATCTTATGAAGTGTTATTCAAAAATTTGCATTTATTTAGATAATGGGTTATTCTAAAATTTTCCATATAAAATATGTTAGAAATATATATTTAGTAATTTTGTATTATGGGCACAATTAAAAATCTTTTAAACTAAATTTTTATTCATTTATATTTATAATTTGTTATCATAAAAATATATTCTTGCTAGATGAGATTTTATGGGGTTTAAATCGAATATAAGTTATGTAAAATTAATGAATAAAAATTTAGTTTATAAGATTTTTGATAGTGCTATAAATTAAAATTACTAAATATATACTTTAACATATTTTATAAAAACAATGGAAAATTTTAGAATAACCCCTTATCTAAATAAATATAAATTTCTGAATAACACTTCATAAAATCATTCATCCATCATCTAATAAATAAAGGAGAAAATTCTGATTCCCCGACATTCCCGACGGGCTACCAGCTAATTATAAATAATAATTGATCTACAGTATTTGATTATTTTTATATTTTTTTAAATAAATATTTAATTATTGGATTGTATAAAAGTCTAGTTTGCTATATTGTAATGAAAAAACAATTATTAATTTATTCCTATTTCAACAAGAACCCAAATCTTAATGACAATCAACCAATACGACGGATGTAAACAATCGTGTAATCAATAATCAAACCGTCGTATGACCACAAATAGCGTATTTCTAAAAATGTCAAAGATGAACGATATAATATCGAGATGACAACCAGCGACAATAAAAAGAGATATAAGCTTTTATATAAACCGCCAAAGTAAAACAAGGGAAAAACGATTCGATATCAAGAGAACATCAATGATATAATTGATGTGCTGGCCCAACTGTAAAAATGTTGAAAATTCTATTATAGACGAATAGCGTTTATGAAACGATGTAGAAAAAAGAAACATAAAATAATTTTTTAATTATATGTGAGTGATATATTGAATTTTTATACACTGATTATTATTTATATAGTTATGAGAAAAATGTATCATTTTGTCCCGGGTTTTCGTTCCTAAAGAAGGGGATGTGTGTTAATATTATAACATCGTATCAGGTCAATTCAGCGAAAATTTTATCGCGAAAAGTGTTTCTCGATACTTTTATCGCGAAAAGTTTTTATAGCGAAGGTAAAATCGTGAAACCAAATTTGCGAATTTATCTCCGCGAAACAGTTATAGCGAAGACAATTTCGCGAAGCCATTGTCGCTAATTTATTAGAGCGAATACATTTTAACGAAACATTTTACGCGAACACTTTACAGCGAATTTTTTATATCGAATATGTTTGCGCGAAGTCATTATCGCGTGAGCATTATCGCGAAACAATAAATATATTGCGAATGCATTTATTTAAAGGAAAACAACATATTATTTAATATTTGATGTTTTTAAATAGAAAATGATATGCTACTATTGTAATATTATTTTTGTTACAATTTATTAGTGATCTTCACGCCCAAGATTTTAAGAAAAAATATTTCCTGAAGTTCAAAAAGATTTTTTAACATATTTTAATAAAAATTTAAATCTTCTTTGTAAATATATCTTTTTGAGGAATTCTTTTGTGAAATTTATTATAAATATACAATTTTTAAGTGAAATCTTTTATAGCTTTTTTTAACATTTTTGTAAAATTATCTATTTCTTAAGTATATTAAAAGAGGTGGGTTTTCTAAATAATTTTTTTTATAATATTTATATTCAACTTATTTATGTTATTTTATATGATCTTTTTAAGGAAAATAATTTAATGTGACAATTGTCATATTCGTTATTTTTCAAGATTTTTGAAATTTTTTGACACAAAAGGATAAAAATATCATTTATATTGTAAAGATGTTAAATTATAAATTCAATGAAGATGTTCCAAGGAAATATGGCAATTATCATAATCGATATTTTTAAACATATTCGATTTTTTTTAACCTTAAATTATAATTTCAATTAGGATGTACCATATAAAAGGGCCAATTGTCATAATCATTATTTTTAAAGTTTTTTTTACAATTTTTGATGTAAATGGGCAAAAATGTAAATTGTTTCATGTTAAAATAAAATTTAAGCGAAGATGTACAATAGATATAAGTTACAATTGTTATAATCGTTGTTTATAAAGTTTTTAGAATTTTTTGTTGCAAATGAGTAAAGATATAGATTGTAAACATGCTAAATTAAAATTTCATGAAGATCTACCATTGAAAAGTGACAATTGTCATAATCGTTGTTTTTAAAGTTTTTTGAATTTTTTTGACCAAAATGCGTTAAATAAGTATTGCTAGTATGTTTAAATAAAACTTCAGTGAAGATGTACCCTAGATAAGTGAAAATTATCATAATCATTATTTTTAATTTTTTTTAACGCAAATGGGTAAAAATATAGATTGTAAACATGTTAAATTAAAATTTCATGAAGATGTACCATAGAAAAGTAACAATTGTCATAATCGTAATTTTATAACTTTTTTAATTTTTTTGACGTAAATGGGCTAAAATAAGTAGGGGAGACCGAGGTAAAAGTATAGGCATTTTGCATATTTACCATATAAATTTTAAACAAGAGTCAAACACAACAAATTATAGATCAATGTGTAGCCCCATCCCTCTTCTAAAAGATAAAAAAAAGTGTAGCCCTCTACCTAATATATTTTAGGAGCTATGATTAGTTATGTAAAACTACTCATTTTCGCCATTTTACCCTGTACTAGGGTAAAGTGGTTAAAATAATATTTGACACATATTTATTGTTTTATTTAACAAATATTACAAATTTAAGATTTATTTATGATTTTTATTTAAAAACTAATCGATACAATAAGGACATGTAAAATAATTATCATAATTAGCACATTTAGAATGTGCCCATTCAAGGCACATTGTACATTTTAGCCATTCATCGCCCTCGCGACTATTTTTATAGTTTTTTATTACAAATAACACATAAACAATTATTTTTTGATATCTTTTTTTTCTCTGAATTAATAATTTTTTTTATAAGGTGTAGATGTTAATATTTCTGAATTCTTTTTTTAGATATTTTAATTGAATAATTTTGTAATAGGTATTATAGATGAAGGATTGAATACTTTATTATAATTTTTTGAGCATGATGGTAACATATCATGATAAGGTTCATCAATATCATCTGGATCATTTTCGTTCAATAGATAAATCACTATCATTATTTTGAGTCACTGTAAGATTTTGAGTCACTGTAATATTTTCATCATTATTTTTAAATTCAATATTGAGCTAGCATTTGAATTATTACAGCAGATAAAATCTTGTTCTGTAAATATATTTGGGTTTAAAGGAAATATGCCACATGCTAAGAACCTATTTAATATATTATTTGGTGTCACTGCCCTTGGTATTTCATTTTTTAACACTCCTGGAATATCATAAATCTGAAATTGTTGCCCCACATAATTTCTCATCCATGTGTCAATAGCTCCATTATAAAACTTTTTCAATGGCCCATAAACTGCTTTGTCTAATGGTTGGAGTTTATGCGAGCAATGTGGTGGAAGTGTTAGAATAACAATCCCATTGGAGCGACAATAGTTTATAACGGAAATTGAACAATGAGAGCTATGGTTATCTAAGATTAATAAGACATTTTTCTCCTTGGATGCACTAGAATATTTTTTAAAGTGTTCCAAAAAAGATAAAAATTCCTCCTCTTGCATCCAACCCGATGCGTTTCCCACACCCTTAGATCCAATAGGCCCATCACGAATAAAGTGATCTTTGTATCGTTTTCTTGGAAAAATAAAAAATGGTGGAATGCTATGGCCTATAGCATTGATGGCTAAACATATTGTAACTAACGTTCCTCTTTCTCCTGACGTTATAGAGCCGACTTGTTTGGCACTTTTCTGTGCTATAATTTTTGCAGGAGTTTGAACGGTGGTGAAACCACTTTCATTTGCATTCCATATATTATGTGGTTCAAAGTTATAAGAATTATATAGCTTAATTAAATTTTCAAAAAATTTATTGACATTTGTGGGATTGAAGCCATATGCTCTTGCTAGACTAGTAGTTTCAGGGGTACGAATCGAAAGTTGGGAATGTCGTTTTCTAAACCCCATAAACCAGTCCTCTCCAGCCATACCATTAGTTGTCTAGCTTTCTGGGAAAGATTTGCCATATTCTTTAGCAAGCTGATATGAAAATCCTCTTATCTTGTTAATTTATAAAATAAAACAATTTCATTTTAATAATTAACAATACCAGTTCCATAGAGTTTAATTTCATAATTTTAATAATGCTCAATTTAAATATCAATATTAAGGTAACTTTAATAAAAATGCTTATTGAGCATTATTAAAATTATGAAATACAATATAATTTCAATTGAGCATTTTTATTAAAGTTACCAAATTAATATTGATATTTAGATTGAGCATTATTAAAATTATGAAATACAATATAATTTCAATTGAGCATTTTTATTAAAGTTACCAAATTAATATTGATATTTAGATTGAGCATTATTAAAATTATGAAATACAATATAATTTCAATTGAGCATTTTTATTAAAGTTACCAAATTAATATTGATATTTAAATTGAGTTATTAAAATTATGAAATACAATATAATACAAACAATATAATTTAATTACTTGTTTAGGCGTTAATCCCATAAATGACCTACTTGCTTCTAATATGTAGTCACAAAATTTAGATTCTTCTTCATTTGTAAATATTTGTTTATGATGATCTGAACTTTTAATACCAATTTTATATCTCCTTCTCAACGTTGTATAAGGTATGTTAAATTTTTTAGCAGACAAATTTAATGAAGTATTATTTGTTATTTTATATTTTATGGCTTCATTTAATATATTTACATCTCTGTATATGGTTTTTCTTTTATAATTTCTCATTATTTGATTGATACAATAAAAATTATAATAAATGAATGAATGAAAAATTTAATGTGAATAATTTTATATTTTACCCGTTTTACCCATAACAGCTTTACCCCTAGGTGACATATATTATAAATATCGTTATTGCGTGACTTCTAATAGAGCTAAAGATGTCGGATAAATTTTATTTTATAGCTAATACATTAAGAAACATGTGTGCCAAATTTTGAATCCTGAGGATATGTAAATTTTACTAAAAGCAAAATATACTAGAGAATGATTTTTATATTTTTTGGGTAAAAAACAGTTTTTTGACAAAATATATAAAACAAGGTAAGTTTTTTAAAAGATGAACATAGGTAAGAAATAAGATATAAAAATACATCTTCACACCAAATAAGGTCTTTATACTTAATGGTTAAAAAGTTATTCGCGTTAACATTGTTACCCAGTCAATCGCTTTACCCCGGTCTCCCCTATTGCTAACATGTTTAAATAAAATTTCAATGAAGATGTACCATAGATAAGTTACAATTGTCATAATCGTTGTTTATTTTGAATATTTTTATTGCAAATGGGTAAAAATATAAATTGTAAACATGTTAAACTAAAATTTCATGATGATGTACCATTGAAAAGTGACAATTGTCATAATTGTTATTTTTAAAGTCTTTTGAATTTTTTTTGACTAAAATAGATTAAAATAAGTATTACTAGCATGTTTAAATAAAATTTCAGTGAAGATGAATCCTAGATAAATGACAATTATCATAATCATTATTTTTAAATTTTTTTAACGCAAATGGGTAAAAATATAGATTGTAAACATGTTAAATTAAAATTTCATGAAGATGTACCATAGAAAAGTGACAATTGTCATAATTGTTATTTTATAATTTTTTTGAATTTTTTTGATAAGTATTGCTAACATGTTTAAATAAAATTTAAATGAAGATGTACCATAGATAAGTTACAATTGTCATAATCGTTGTTTATTTTGAATATTTTTGTTGCAAATGGGTAAAAATATAGATTGTAAACATGTTAAATTAAAATTTCATGATGATGTACCATTGAAAAGTGACAATTGTCATAATTGTTATTTTTAAAGTCTTTTGAATTTTTTTGACTAAAATAGATTGAAATAAGTATTGCTCTTTGGCGTACGCAGCGGGTGGGGGGACAGGGGGATAAATCCCCCCCCCCCCCTTCCCCCCCCCCCCCCCCCCAATGCTAAAATGCAGATGCCGGACATATTTTTCAAAAATATTATTTTTTATATTTTATTATAATTATTCATATCTATTTCTTTTTAAATTTTTATATTAATACCTTTTTCATTTACTAATTTACTTTATCAATTAATTTCATTTTCAAGTTTTCCTTGTGGCGTAATATTTATCTATTATTTTTAAATTTCCCGGTATTATAATTTTCAAATTTCTAGTCATGGATATTAGACTTTTTTTAAAAAACGCTGAAGGTGAAAATCATGCCAAAAAGCAAAAAAGTATAGTATGATAATTTAATAAACAAAAGCTGTGAACTGATGATTTCCTCAAAAGAATCAATTCAAAAGGGGGATATGATTCCCATTTCATCAATAATTGATAAAAATAGGGTTAAAATTGCAAATGAAAATAGAGGCAAGATAAAACTAACTATTGAGGCTATTTTATATTGTGGCTTGCAAGGCCTAGCACTTCGTGGCCACAAGGATTCAGGAAGCTTAAATTTTAATAATGATAACGAAGGTAATTTCCGTGGACTTTTAAAATTTAAAGCATTAGGAGATCCTGTATTAATGGAGAGCCTCATTAGTACCAATAAAAATGCTATTTATCTCAGCCCTAGGATATAAAATGAGATAATTGATATTTGCAACAATATCATTTTAGAAAAATTGATTGTTGAAATCAATTCTGCCCCATGCTTCTCAATTTTGGCAGATGAGACCACGGACATTGCTGGCATTGAGCAGATGTAGTTGTGTGCGCGTTATGTAGATACTCATAAAAACATTATCAAGGAAATGTTTCTCCAATTTATTCTTGTTTCAAGCATGACTGGGTCTGCTTTAGCTGATGTAATATTTGTGAATCTTAAAAAATTAAAAGTAATAATTAATCTTATTATATAATTATTTTAAAAAATATAGCTAAATATAAATATGATACGTGGGCAAGGGTATGATGGAGCACGTGCAATGAGTGGACAATTCAATGGGCTTCAGGCATTTATTAAAAAAAATGCCCAACGGCTATATATGTCCACTGTGCTGCCCATTTACTCAACTTAGCAATATCGGATTCATGTTCTTTACCATTGATATCAAATTGCTTAGGTTTTTAATTATTAAATTAAATTTTTTATATTTATATCAGGTAAAATATCTAGCATCTATGAGATGTTTAGATACCCCAAGCGTCAAAATATTTTGAACAGAATTATATCTGAAACTCCTTGCCCAACAAGGAGAAAAAAATTCCAAAAAGCTTGTCCAACAAGATGGAGTCTTCGACATCAAGCAGTAACAGTTTTTATCGAGTTAGAAGAGCCGATTATTAATGCTCTTATAGAAATATCACAATGTCTGAAAAAGATATTTCTTCAGAAGCAAGCAAGTTACTGGATTCAATACTTATACCAAATTTTGTTTTCGCATTAGAATGTATTAATAAATTATTTAATTATACAACTATTTTATGTAATACTTTTCAAAAACCTGATATTGATTTGATTGAGATGATGAGAATAGCAGAGACAATTTTATTAGAACTCAAAGAAATTAGAGCTAATGCTGATGAGGAATTTTATATTTTATATGTTAATGTTGAATCAAAAGCAGAGCTATACGAGTTCAATATTTGTCTCCCTCGACTTACAGTAAGGCAAACTTATCGTCCAAATATTAATAAAGGGTCAGTAGAAGATTATTATAAAATAAATGTCTTTATAACTCTTTTGGATACATTTATAACCCAAGTAAATGAAAGGTTTTTAATTTATAAAAAAACACTTATAAATCTGCAGATATTACTTCCGCAAAAGCCCTCTGAACCTTTTTCAGATGGTGATAGAAAAAAAATAAAATATTTGGAAGATTTTTATCATGAAGACATTAATGTATCTCATGATGCTTTATTAGCTGAATGCCAACTATGGTATAAAAGATTAACTATGGTTGATATAGTCCCAAAAAATGCTATGATGCTTTGCATCATTTCAAACATCTTTTAGATTATTTTCCCAATATATTGAAATTATTATATATATTAGCAACTCTTCCCATTAGTACTGCAACTAATGAGAGAACATTCTCTTCTTTAAGAAGATTAAAAACGTACCTAAGAAGTACAACTTCTGAAAGTAGGTTGAATGGTCTGGCCCTTTTGAATATTCATAGGCATTTGACGCCAAACACGGATGAGATAATTGAAAAATTAGTTCCCTCCCAACGAAGATTGGATTTTACATTATAAAAATATAATGTTTCTATAATATTTTTTGTGCTATCATTTTTTAATGTCTTATATATTTTTCTTTTACATAAATAATTATTCATATTTCCAACATTTCGATTTTTTATACTTTATATATAAATTTTAAAAGCTCAAAAAAATTTAAATTTCTATTATGGATTATTTATTTTATAGTCATCATATCTTGCCGGTTATATTCGTTTAATATTTTTTAAATCAAATTTATTTTTATATATCGGTTTATATTAATTTTTTATAATTCATATTAATTTAAATTTGTATATTAGAAATAGTTATTAGTCCTAATAAATTTATGCTTGATATTTTTAAATAACAATAATTTTATTTTAAAAAATTTTAATTATACCCCTCCCCCCCCTTTCCCCACACCAAATTCCTGCGTACGCTACTGGTATTGCTAGCATGTTTAAATAAAATTTCAGTGAAGATGTATCCTAGATAACAATTATCATAATCATTATTTTTAAACTTTTTTTGACGTAAATGGACCAAAATAAGTATTGATAACATATTTAAATAAAACTTCAGTGAAGATGTACCCTAGATAAGTGACAAGTGTCAAAATCGTTATTTTAAAATTTTTTGTATTTTTTTTAACGCAAATGGGTAAAAATATAGATTGTAAACATGTTAAATTAAAATTTAATGAGGATGCATCATAGAAAAGTGACAATTGTCATAATCGTTATTTTAATTATTTGAATTTATTAGGCGCAAATGGGCAAAAATATAAA